TTCTTAAGTTATTGGGTGGACAAGCTTTTTGAAGTCAAGGCCCCTGTGACCTCGACCTTTGACTTGGTGACCTCAAAATCAATAGGGGTCATCTACTAATCATGACTAACCTTGCCAAATATGAAGACTGTGAGTCATAGGATTCTTAAGTTATTGGGTGGACAAGCTTTTTGAAGTCAAGGCCCCTGTGACCTTGACCTTTGACCTCAAAATCAATAGGGGTCATGTACTAATCATGATTAACCTCCGTGCCAAATATGAAGGCTGTTGGTCATAGACATCCCATATTTTTAAGTTATTTGGCGGACAAGCTTTTTGAAGTCAAGGCCCCTGTGACCATGACCTTTGACCTGGTGACCTTAAAATCAATAGGGGTCATATACTAATCGTGACTAACATCCATGCCAAATACAGTACGCTCGGCGCGGCTTTTCCAAAACCCGCGTGACCCCGCGGATGAGGTGGACGAAAATTTGCTCTGATAATGCCCCGTGACCCCGCGGACAGAAAATTTTTACCACCGTGGACATAAATCGGCGACTGAAACCGTTTCCCCCGCGGAACGCAGTGGTAAATTGCGGAGGAACGCGGCGGTCAAACACCGGTCAACGCGGTGGAAACCTTAAATTTTAAAAATTAATTACTGTATTTAAACATCAGTATACGTACATATGTAAAATTTGTTTGTTTGTTTTCTTTTTTGTTGTAATAAAAGTACATGTACAAATGCAGTGTATTTCTTGTTCTTCTTCTTGTTATTGTGTTGGGTAATGTATAATATGTATTCGACATCAAGATAAATCATTGTCGTCGCAATTTCATGGTAGTGAGAAACTTGAAGTCAAATAATGAAAAATTCGGCATATGACATTTATGAAAAAGATACTGCAACAATTTATATGCCAGCTTTTGTTTCTTATTTGAAAACGTAACCCTCAACAATTTATTCAGGCAATATTCCAGGACGTCTCTTTCAATTGTCAGATGCGTTTTACTGTTTCTGTTTATTTTCATGTTGATCATAAAGTCTTATATTTTATTTGGGACATTAAAAGAAAGCGTTTATTTCACCAAAATATACATTAAACGATATTCTTGATTTATCTAATTACAGGTGTGAGCGTAATGTATATGTTTTGAAGTTTGTATCAACTGTTGGAGTTTATTTTCATTTTTGTTTTAGTAGTTTGTTTGTTTGTTCTTTTTTATTTTCTTATAGATTTTTTTGCAGAATTTTGTTAAACTTGACGTTATACTTTTTGTTATTTTATTATGAACAGTATGCATGTATATACATGTATATAAGGCAAACAAGCACATGGCAGTTATTTTCTAAGAACTTCCATCCACCGATGTTCAAGTTAAAACTATTTCTTTTTATTTTTATCTTAAGATATTATTGTTCATAGGAATAATAGTATTTGTAGACAACATGTAGTTTTAAGTACATTATTGTAACAATTGAATATTAAAAACAACAACAAAAACAGGTACAGCTGTAATTATTTTTATTTCAAATTCCGTTCAAATAATTTAACGTATAATAACATTTAAGGAGACGATTGTGGTCAATTTTCAAGTCATTGTGTAAAAAGATGACGTTAAAAAATGATAAAACGTCTATTATTTTTGGAGGTTAATTTATACTGACCAACTGACCATGGCGTTCCCCCGCGAGAAACGGGTGACTGATTTTATTGATGAATGAAGAATGGTCGTCAGAATTTTGTCCGCGGTGGAAACAACTAAACACCGGGGATCGCGGGGAAATTAGGCTTCTCATCGCGGTCGAACCAACCCCCCGCCCCCCCCCCCCCCCCCCCGTTTGTTCGCGATAAAAAAAAAATCGTCCGCGGTGGTATAGCGGAAAAAGCAAAACCCGCGGTGAGCGTACTGTATGAAGACTGTGGGTCAACGGATTCTTAAGTTATTGGGCAGACAAGCTTTTTGAAGTCAAGGCCCCTGTGACCTTGATCTTTGACCTGGTGACCTCAAAGTCAATAGGGGTCATCTACTAATCGTGACTCACCTCCATGCCAAATATGAAGACTGTGGATCTTTCACGTAATAAAGCGGTATAGACTAAAACTCGCATTTTCTTCTGTGAATCTAATCGAAATTCTTATATTTGATATCGGAAGTGATTCGGCACCCACTAAACCAGTTATCAATGCATTGGAACATATCATTGCACATCTAAGGATGGATACACCGAACGGATGAACAAGGGAAAATCTAAATATCTCCCTACCCCTAATATGGGGGCAATGCCCTAGAATTTCACTTTAGCATAACTTTGTGCTGAATGATATATCCATTTACATATCTTTTGAAAAGAAACAATACAAAGACCTCAAAGGCAAATTTTCATAAATTTAAAGGTCATTCAGACGGTAAATAATAAGCATGTTTTTCTGTTCGAAAGACTTTGCTACTTATATTACAACTAGGGCTACCACTGAAGGTGATTAATACCCCCACCAGCAACCTTGACTTTTGAAAAATAAGTGGTCTGACTTGACAGCCTATTAGTTTATGAAAATTCAACTGTTTAACAAGAACGTGTTTGTTAAACACAAATGCCCCCGGCTCAGATTCTTGTCAGTAACAATATTTAAAATAAAGGCTGTATGGGCAAAAGTGTAAAAAATCTATTTTTAGCACTGGTGACCTTGACCCAACTGACCCCTAACTCCATCCAAAGGAAGAATATCATGCAACTTATTTTCCTACCAAATATGAAATAAATCTGTCAATATATAAAGGCTGTATGGGCAAAAGTGTAAAAATCTATTTTTAGCACTGGTGACCTTGACCCAACTGACCCCTACCTCCATCCAAATGAGAATACCTCAATTTTATGTTCCTACAAAATATACAAGACATCTGTCGATAGAATAAGGTTATATTAACACCTGTAAAAGTGTAAAAAATCTATTTTTGACATTGGTGACCTTGACCCAAATGACCACTTACTAAAGGAAAAGGAAGAGGACCTCCCTTGGTATAACTATTATAAACATGAAAGACATTAACTTAAAAATAAAGGCTGTATGAGCAGAAATGTTTAGATCTATTTTTTTACACAAGTTACCTTGACCTTGACCTAGAGACGCCTAACGCCACAAAAAATTAGAGGACCATTAAAGGTATTCACCTACAAATATGAAAGATATCATTAAATAAATAAAGTAATAAGGTGAAATTTTTGATAAATCCAACTTGGCAGAATAGGTTCACCATACAAGGCCCTATTTTCAAAGTGATAAAAAGGGAAATTACTGGGAAAATGGATGGGACATTTATATTACTTAGCAATATCATGTACATTGTATTGATAAGTAAGTGTGAAAATTATTAAGCCATTAGTTCAGATAGAAAATAAGATATTTCCAACTTGCCGGTTTAGGTTAACCATTATTCATTTTCTAAGTGCTGAAAAGGGCCATAACTTGGTGCAAATGGAAGCCATAGTTATGTAACTTGCCCAGATCATATACTTTGTATGGATTAGTAAGTGTGTAAATTATGAAGCCATTGGTACAGGTAGAACTTAAGAAAAATCAAACTTGCCGTTCTAGGTTAACCAGGTACAGACAGACGGACAGACGGACGGACGACCCGACGACTATATGCTCCCCCGAAATTTTTCGGGGAGCATAACAAGAAATGCCCTTTCTAGCCCTTGACTCTCACCCATTATTGGTAATTTTGTTATAGAAACTTCCGTAAATGGGTACATGGAAGTTTACAGTATAAAAAAAAGAAGAAAAAAAAAAGAAAACGAAGACTTTGTGATAGTTTTCAAGATAATGAGTGGAAACCATTCTGACATTTACGGCCCCTGTGACCATGACCTTTGAAATAGTGACCGAAAATCTATAGGGTTATCTAATATGACCAATCAATATTAGAAATATGAAGACATTGTGATAAATAGTTTTCAAGATAATGAGCGGAAACTATACTACCATTCAAGGACCCTGTGACCTTGACCTTTGACCTAGTGACCCAATACCAATAGTGGTCACTTACTAGTTATGACCAATCAGTATGTGAAATATGAAGACTTTGAGATCAATAGTTTTCAAGATAATAAGCGAATCATACTACCATTCAAGGCCCCCGTGACCTTTGACCTAGTGACCCTAAAATCAATAGGGGTTATGACCATTCAATATGTGACATATGAAGACTGTGATAGATAGTAACCAAGATAATGAGCGGAAAGCATTCTAACATTTATGGCCCGCCCCTAAGACCTTGACATTTGACCTGGCTACCCCAAAATCAATAGGGGTCATTTACTAGTTAAAACCACTCAATTTGTGAAATATGAAGACTTTGTGATAAATAGTAACCAAGATAATCAGCAGAAATCATACTACCATTCAAGGCCCATGTGACCTTGACCTTTGACCTTGTGACACCAAAATCAATAGGGGTCATCTACTAGTTATGACCAATTGATATGTAAAATATGAAGACTTTGTGATCAATAGTAACCAAGATAATGAGCTAAAACCAATCTGATATTTAAGGCCCCTGTGACCTTGACCTTTCACCTAGTGAACAAAAAATCAATAGGGGTCATCTAATTGTTATGAGCAATCAATAATCAATATGTAAAGACTTTGTGATCAATAGTAACCAAGATAATGAGAGGAAACAATTCTGACATTTAAGGCCCCTGTGAACTTGACCTTTGACATAGCAACCCTAAAATGGATAGGGTCATCTACTTGTTATGACCAATCAGCATGTGAAATATGAAGACTTTGTGATAAATAGTTTTCAAGATAATCAGCGGAAACCATTGTGGTCTACCGATGGACAGACCGACAGATAGACCTACGGACTGATATTAGCAAAACAATATACCCCTCTTCTTCGAAAAAGGGGGGGGGGGGCATAAAAATCTGAGTGGCAGCATAGCTCTACATAATATACTTAACTTTGAAAAAGTCTAGCTAAAAACTGAAGATGATCTGAATATATACCATTGTTGAGCTGTAGAGAAATACGCTGAGGACTTTGCTGAGGATTTCGTTGTTCCTTTTCTTGTTTTAAATGAACTCTCTTTATTAGGAACCAGGGTTGGATCTTTACCAAGTATGTCTACAATCTATAAAGCAATAATTAATGTGATTTTATGTAAACAAGATATGTTTGTAAAACATGTATGCCCCCTATCAGCAGCCAATTAGTCATGTGATAAGGTTATTATGCATGACTTCTGACCCAGTGATCAAACAATTAATAAGGGTTATAAAGTATCTACTGGTCATGACCTTGACCTTTGACCCCTTGACCCAAAACTCAATAGGGGTCATCTGCTGGTCACGACCAATCATCATACAAAGTTTGAAGTTCCTAGGCCTAGGCGTTTTTAGTAAATTGATCAGAAACCGTTTTTACCTACAAGGTCAATGTGACCTTGACCTTTGACCCCTTGACCCCAAAATCAATAGGGGTCATCTGCTGGTCATGACCAATCACCATGCCAAGTTTGAAGTTCTTAGGCCTAAGGGTTCTCTTATTATTGATCGGAAACCGTTTTAACATACAAGATCAATGTGACCTTGACCTTTGACCCCAAAATCAATAGGGGTCATCTGCTGGTCATGACCAATCACCATGCCAAGTTTGAAGTTTCTAGGCCGAAGCGTTCTTTAGTTATTGATCAGAAACCGTTTTTACTTACAAGGTCATTGTGACCTTGACCTTTGACCCCTTGATCCCAAAATCAATAGGAGTAATCTGCTGGTCATGACAAATCACCATACCAAGTTTGAAGTTCCTAGGCCTAAGCGTTCTTGAGTTATTGATCAGAAACCGTTTTTACTTAAAAGGTCAATGTGACCTTGACCTTTGACCCCTTCACCTAAACTCAATAGGGGTCATCTGCTGGTCATGACCAATCATCACACAAAGTTTGAAGTTCCTAGGCCTAAGCGTTTTTAGTAAATTGATCGGAAACCGTTTTTACCTACAAGGTCAATGTGACCTTGACCTTTAACCCCTTAACCCCAAAATCAATAGGGGTCATCTGCTGGTCATGACCAATCACCATACCAAGTTTGAAGTTCCTAGGCCTAAGGGTTCTTTAGTTATTGATCGGAAACTGTTTTTACCTAAGAGGTCAATGTGACCTTGACCTTTGACCCCTTGACCCCAAAATCAATAGGGGTCATCTACTGATCATGACCAATCACCATCTCAAGTTTGAAGTCCCTAGGCCTAAGGGTTCTTTCATTATTGATCGGAAACCGTTTTTACCTACAAGGTCAATGTGACCTTGACCTTTGACCCCTTAACGCCAAAATCAATAGGGGTCATCTGATTGGTCATAACCAATCACCATACCAAGTTTGAAGTTCCTAGGCCTAAGGGTTCTTTTGTTATTGATCAGAAACCGTTTTTAATTAAAAGGTCAATGTAACCTTGACCTTTGACCCCTTGACCCCAAAATCTATACGGGTCATCTACTGATCATGACCAATCACCATACCAAGTTTGAAGTTCCTAGGCCTTAAGGTTCTTTAGTTATTGATCGGAAACCGTTTTTGCTTTCAAGGTCAATGTGACCTTGACCTTTGACCCCAAAATCAATAGGGGTCATCTACTGATCATGAGCAATCACCATACCAAGTTTGAAGTTCCTAGGCCTTAAGGTTCTTTAGTTATTGATCGGAAACCGTTTTTACCTACAAGGTCAATGTGACCTTGACCTTTGACCCCTTGACCCCAAAATCAATAGGGGTCATCTACTGATCATGACCAATCACCATACCAAGTTTGAAGTTCCTAGGCCTTAAGGTTCTTTAGTTATTGATCAGAAACCGTTTTAGCTTACAAGGTCAATGTGACCTTGACCTTTGACCCCTTGACCCCAAAATCAATAGGGGTCATCTACTGATCATGACCAATCACCATACCAAGTTTGAAGTTCCTAGGCCTTAAGGTTCTTTAGTTATTGATCGGAAACTGTTTTTGCTTTCAAGGTCAATGTGACCTTGACCTTTGACCCCTTGACCCCAAAATCAATAGGGGTCATCTACTGGTCATGACCAATCACCATACCAAGTTTGAAGTTCCTAGGCCTTAAGGTTCTTTAGTTATTGATCGGAAACCGTTTTTGCTTTCAAGGTCAATGTGACCTTGACCTTTGACCCCTTGACCCCAAAATCAATAGGGGTCATCTACTGATCATGACCAATCACCATACCAAGTTTGAAGTTCCTAGGCCTTAAGGTTCTTTAGTTATTGATTGGAAACCGTTTTTGCTTTTAAGGTCAATGTGACCTTGACCTTTGACCCCCTTGACCCCAAAATCTATAGGGGTCATCTACTGGTCATGACCAATCACCATACCAAGTTTGAAGTTCCTAGGCCTTAAGGTTCTTTAGTTATTGATCGGAAACTGTTTTTGCTTTCAAGGTCAATGTGACCTTGACCTTTGACCCCTTGACTCCAAAATCAATAGGGGTCATCTACTGGTCATGACCAATCACCATACCAAGTTTGAAGTTCCTAGGCCTTAAGGTTCTTTAGTTATTGATCGGAAACCGTTTTTGCTTTCAAGGTCAATGTGACCTTGACCTTTGACCCCTTGACCCCAAAATCAATAGGGGTCATCTACTGATCATGACCAATCACCATACCAAGTTTGAAGTTCCTAGGCCTTAAGGTTCTTTAGTTATTGATCGGAAACCGTTTTTGCTTTCAAGGTCAATGTGACCTTGACCTTTGACCCCTTGACCCCAAAATCAATAGGGGTCATCTACTGGTCATGACCAATCACCATACCAAGTTTGAAGTTCCTAGGCCTAAGGGTTCTTTAGTTATCACTCGGAAACCATTTGGTCTACGGACCGACGGACCGACGGACCGAGGGACCGACAAGTGCAAAGCAATATACCCCCTTTTTTTCAAAATGGGGGCATAAAAATGTAAGGATATCTATCAACAAGTACAGATATTTCAGTACTCGGTCATTCTTTCTATCTAATACCAGATTACTCTATTTCTGGAGAAAAAAGACAGTTGTTAAAACAATAACATCATCCACGTAACCTACCTTTCCTTTTTTTTTGATACAAGGAATCATTAACTATCAAGATATGTTTGTAAAACATGTATGGGCAGCCAATTAGTCATGTGATCAGGTTATTATGCATGACTTCTGACCCAGTGAACAAAAAATTAATAAGGGTTATCTACTGGTCATGACTAGTCACAAGGTAATAATCATTGTGACCCTATAGGTTGTGTGCAGCAATTTAAGTTATTACAAATCTTACCAAATAAAATATGCATAAATTTTATGAATCATGTAGGCCTCATTAATGACAGCCAAGTTGTTATATAACATAAGACCTTCAAATGTGTATACCAAAAGAATTTTAGTTTAATATAAAAATATCAACCAAGGCAACTTGACCTGATGAGTTATTGGTCAGACACCATTTTAAAGTACAAGGTCAATTTGAAACTGACCCCTTGACCCCAAAATCAATAGGGGTCATCTACTGGTTATGACCAATCTTCAAATAAAGTTTGAAGTTCCTAGGCTTTAGTGTTCTTTAGTTATTGATTGGAAACCGTTTTTACTTACAAGGTGAATGTGACCTTGACCTTTGACCCCAAAATCAATAGGGGTCATCTACTGGTCATGGCCAATCATCATATAAAGTTTGAAGTTCCTAGACCTAAGCATTCTTTAATTATTTATCTGAAACCATTTTTACTTACAAGGTCAATGTGACCTTGACCTTTGACCCCAAAATCAATAGGGGTCATCTACTGGTCATGACCAATCATCATACCAAGTTTGAAGTTCCTAGGCCTAAGCGTCCTTTAGGTATAGAGTGGAAACCATTTTTAACTTCAAGTAAATGTGACCTTGACCTTTGACCCCTTGACCCCAAAATAGGGTTCATCTGCTGGTTATGACCAATCATCATACCAAGTTTGAAAATCCTAGGCCTAAGCGTTCTTAACCCTTTCGCTGCCAGAGGGTTATTGTTTTATTGATCACCTATTTGCCAGAGGGTTTTCTAAGAAATTATTACAGTAAACTCCACTTATAACAAACTCATTGGGACATTCAAAATCTGTTCCTTATATCCAGAGTTCCTTATAAGCATAAAACGAATTAGTTCCTTATATCAGGAGTTTTTATAGCAAACAGATTTACATATAACGAACTGTTTGGTTAAGAAGGACAAATGTGTCCAGTGATGACACTTATCGCATTGAGCCCACTTCACAATAACTAAACTTGTACACTGCTTAAGAGCTGGAGGTGAAAATTTATGGCACACACAGCAATTTGAAGATTCATCCTCAGAGCCAGACTCAGTTTCAGCCTCTGAACTGCTGACATAATAAGCAGAAGGACCTGGATGAGGAAGTTGTTTTGAAGAAGATGATGGAACTGCTTTGGTAGTAGAGGATTTACTTAAAGATTTTTCAGATTGAGATGAATGATCTGTGATTGTTGCTTGATTTGCTTTGGGCTTTTTAGCTTGAAGCACTGTGATGTTATTGGGCTTTGACAAACTGACTTTGAAGTTTTCAATGGATAAGCAAGAATGTGTGATTTTGTTGAAAACTGATATTAAATTATCATAATTATTTTACTCGAGCAAACCTATTAAAGAAAAGAAATAATACAATTAATTGAATAACAGTTTTATCTTGGTGACAAGAACTCATTTTTAAAATATCCTAAATAGAAAACTATTACGTACTGCTATGCAAATTAATTTTTATAGCTGTATTTAAGTAAGACAATAATAAACGGTAGCCTTTTGATACCATCTCTCGAACGTCACTACCATCTCTCGACCAAAGTGATACATTCCATATTTGACAAATCAAATTTATGTTGTGCAGCAAGAGATAGTTTAATAAAGTGACAAGCACTTACATTTCCTTTGTTTGGCAAAGTTCCATATTTACAGCTTCATTTTGACCATTCTAAAAGTAGACGAAAGTTCAATTTTAAGATAATGGCAGCCTACATTCATTTTTGAAATTGTGTATTTTTGTAAATTTACCACTTAACTAATGTAGATTTGTGGAATAAGTGAGAAAAGTAAGAATTCATTATTCTTTCACGAAAATATGAGCGTAATTTTACTATATTTTTGATTTGTTATATGAACTGTCGACATTGACCTAGTTTCTTGATTTATCGTTTTGTTCAATCAAATATTTAATTGAACAAGATAAATTAAGTTAAACACCACTAAATGTATTTCTTCAATTGTTCTCAATATGTAATTGATTCCATTAATAAAGCTGCCTCTGATTTGTGAAGCTGCTGTATCTAAGCCAGATGAATACTCCAGGAATGTGACATGACATGAAAACGAATGAAAATGTTTTTGCTTTGTTCTATGTACAGTAGGAAATTTAAATAATGCTAATAGTTTCAATTCTAAATGATCTCCTCTTTGTACATGTTATTCGTACACTAAAAATAACTTGGTTCGATAATTGGTAGCAAGGGGTCAACTTTGTTCTGCTAATCAAGCATCCCAATGAGCCCACAGCAGCCATTTTCAAAGGTATTGTTGACAAATTTTAAATACGTCAAAATGGACACAACACATGCCTCTACAATCAAGAACTTTACTAAGTTTAAAGAAACTAAACCTCCTAAAAATAATTACAGTTAAGTGAAATTATTGTTCCAGAGATGGTACAACGAGGCTAAATTCGGGCGAGTTTTAATCCGTGCCCATGAAAAAGAAAGTTGAAAATGCGGGATATATTTATGGATAGCCGATATTTTGGAGTTTGCTATAAAAGTGTAATTTTCTGTACTTTTAACTGAATTGGGACTAAAAAATGAGTTCCTTATAAGCGATAATTCCTTATAAACGTGTTCGCTGTAACCGTATATTTTTATATTAAATAAAGAAGGGCAAAATTAGGGCAAAATTAAATTGTTCCTTATAACCGGAAATTCGCTATAACCGTGTTCGCTATAAGTGAAGTTTACTGTATATTATTAATTAATATAATTATAATTATTTGTTATTAGTATTATAATAATTATATGTTTCCAAATCTGTTAGTATAATAATAATTATTGTCGATGGTATAATTTTCTTTATATTTATTATTTTTATTATTATTAATTTATAATTATTATCATTATAATTATAGAAACGGCTAAAGCCATCCATATGGCAAATACGCCGAAAATAACAGGGACAGCATAAGCCGTCCCTATAGCAGTGAAAGGGTTAAGTTATTGATCTGAAATCGTTTTTACCTACAAGGTCAATGTGACCTTGACCTTTGACCCCTTGACCCCAAAATCAATATATTTCATCTGCTGGTCATGACCAATCACCATACCAAGTTTGAAGTTCCTAGGCCTAAGCGTTCTTATGTTATTGATCGGAAACCTTTTTTACCTACAAGGTCAATGTGACCTTGACCTTTGACCCCAAAATCAATATGGTTCATCTGCTGGTCATGACCAATCACAATACCAAGTTTGAAGTCAGCTTCACACTGATGTTGATCATCAATACTGTAAAGTTGGTTGATTATGACTCAAGCTCTCAAGGTACACATAATGCAACATTTTGGAATGGTTTTTATTAAGTCCTGTGACCTAGTTTTTCATCCAAGATGACCCATGTTCGAACTCATCCAAACTATTACCTAGACAAGCATCCTGACAAAGTTTGATAATGCTTGAGGCAAAAATGTAACCTCTGAACTTTTAACACTTGATCTTTAAGTGTGACCTAACACAATTATTGCGCTCTGCACATTGCTCCATAATGTTTATCACTTGTACCAAGCTGTTTTTTTAAATTTCAGTGGTTATTGAGTGGACACAAAAGAGTTACAGATGGACGGAGGGACGGACAGACGAAGGCCATTCCTGTAATTCCATCCCCGCCTTGCCGAAGGGGATAAACAAACATACCTGATCATGTAGAGACTGTGGCATACACAAGTTGACAATTTTCAGATAGTCCACAGCCATCTCAAGTATAGAGGCCATATCCGTCTTTCTTCCACGAATGTATGGCAGCAAAACACGTAGTTGATCACAACTATCCTTGATTCTCTCCCTTGCAAAGTATTAAGGTATCAATATATTAAAATGTTTTACTTAATAACAAGAAAGCAGTTTCTAATGAATACCTCAAAAACTTGATGTATTATTGTCTGGATCAAAATTATGCAAACACCACATAGGAGAGGCAAAATATGAGTAACTGTGACTTACTGACTGTGACTGACTGTAATTGTGTCTGACTGACTGTGACAGTGATTGTGTCTGACTGTAACTGACTGTAACTGACTGAATGAGACTGACTGACGTACTGACTTGACTGTGACTGACTGCGACTGACTGTGAGACAGACTGACAGACAGACAGACATACTTATGAAATGGTACTTGTGTGACTTTTCCTTTGATCTTTTTAGCCATTTTTAGCCACACAAGGCTTAAAAAAAAGACACACAAGTAAAAACGGAATGAATAGGATCAAAGCCAATTTACTGTTACCTATTGTTCTCCAAGTCACACAAGTACCTCTGGGTTTGTACGTCCGAACTGACAGACTGACTGACAGTGACTGACTGTGACTGACTGACTGAACTATAATCTTTATTTGACTTCTTAGTTTGTCTGTATTAAAGTAATGTGTTGAGTTTCCCTGCCTAATAAGGAAATTATGTTTATACAACAAATAATCAAAAGACACAATTTTCTCAGGATGACTTTGTATACATAACTAATGTTTCTATTTTAAGTAAATTTGAAAAAGTTCCAAATTCTTTAAAAGTGATCCCAGGAAACAGTTTTAAAGAAAGACAGACTGAAAGACACTCTGAGAGTAAATCTTTAAACATCCCTGGTTGTTACCAGATTGAGAATATAACATTAAATTTAAAACTATTAAAGAGGAGATAACTCTTGAAATAAAGATGCTAGATTTAAGGACATTGTCATACATAATGTGAGTATAACAAAGAACAATTATCTTAAGTCTAAAGAATATACCATTTATAGTCACAAAAAAGAAAACTGAACCAAGAGGGCCATGATGGCCCTGAAATCGCTCACCTGTATATAGGCCCCCAGGGTCGGGCCAATGTTAACCCAGGGGCTTTTATTTGAACAAACTTGGTAGACACCAATTTGAAAATGTTTAATGATAAATATCTAAGCTCTAGCTGTAAGAAGATTTTTTAAGTTTTTACTATACACATATAGGGAAAAACAATGACCCCCCCCCCCCCCGGGCCAATTTTGTCCCCTGGGCTTTTATTTGAACAAACTTGGTAGTCACTATCTAGAAGTAAGTTCATGCTTAATATCTAAACTCTAGCTCTTTGGGTTTTTTAAAAGAAGGTTTTTTAAGTTTTTACTATATACATTAAAGGAAAATCAATGATCCCCGGGGCGGGGCCAATTTTGACCCCAGGGCCCTTATTTGAACACAAGAGCGATCAGTAATCACATGTGTCGCCTCATGATGGCCAATTTCATGTTGGGACAAATTTTGTGACAGACGGACATACAGTGCACAACTAGACTTGGTACTGATCATTCCTGTAAAGTTTGGATAAAATTGCACCAGTAGTTTATGAGGAGTAGTCCGGACAAGCTTTTGCATATCTGGCAACACACAGAAAAAAAACACCTTTTTATCAAAGGGCCATAACTCAGCCAAAAATCATTCAACCGGAAAACCTGTGCAATATGCGCAAGGACTTGAGCTACAGATCAATCCTGTAAAGTTTCATTGAAATTGCATTAGTGGTATAAGAGAAGTAGTCCGGACAAACTTTAAAAATAAAAATTATTAAAGGGCCATAACTCAAACAAAAATCATTGAACCAGAAAATGCTGACAATATGCACAACTAGACTTGGTACTGATCATTCCTGTAAAGTTTGGATGAAATTGCACCTGTAGTTTATGAGGAGTAGTCCGGACAAGCTTTTGTGTATCATGGCAACACACAGAAAAAGAAACCTTTTTATAAAAGGGCCATAACTCGGCCAAAAATCATTCAACCGGAAAACCCTTGCAATATGCGCAAGGACTTGAGCTACAGATCAATCCTGTAAAGTTTCATTGAAATTGCATTAGTGGTATAAGAGAAGTAGTCCGGACAAACTTTAAAAATAAAAATTATTAAAGAGCCATAACTCTGACATAAATCATTGAACCGGAAAATGCTGACAATATGCACAACTAGACTTGGTACTGATCATTTCTGTAAAGTTTGGATGAAATTGCACCAGTAGTTTATGAGGAGTAGTCCGGACAAGTTTTGTGACAGACGGACGGACAGACAGACAGACAGACAGACGGACAGACAGACGACGGAGAAGTGATCCCTATATGTCGCCACTACTCTGTAGAGGCGACACAAAAATGGTAGACACCCATTAGAAGATATTTCATGCTTAATATCTTAGCTCTAGCTCTTAGGGTTTTTCTAAAAGAAGATTTTTTAAGTTTTTACTTAGATATACATAAAGGGAAAAAACAGTGACCCCTTGGGGCTCGGCCAATTTTTACCCCAGGGCTTTTATTTGAACAAACTTGGTAGACACCCACTAGAAGATGTTTCATGCTTAATATCTAAACTCTAGCTATTTGGGCTTTTTAATAGAAGATTTTTTAAGTTTTTACTATATACAAACTAGAAATGTGTCATCATGCCACGGATGCCCCCGCATGCAGCCAAAATTTCAGATGGTGCATTAATTATCTTTTTCATTTTAAGTTTAAAGCCCTTAAAACTTTTCAATGTTAACACAAACCATTTTCATACAATGTTCAAGGCACTGAAATTATTCAGTCTTAACCTTTTAAAAATAGCATATTGCATATTAATTTTGTAGCCAAGATAATGGCTAAAAGTATGAGTACTGAAACTGAAAATTTTTCCAACATTCAGGAAAGATAAGTTTGTCTAAAATCATTGAACCACGACTTAATTCAAACTTAAACTGCTTATTCCTAAGATGTATCTATATTATTTTCAAAGTGAAAGGGACATAACTCTGCCAAAAAATCATCAAACCATGACCAAATTCCAACTTGACCTGCCCATTCCTTTGACATATCCATATGTCAAATTTAAGTTGAATATGTAACACTGTTGGGTAGATAATAAACAGAAACTGTAAATTTCATATTATTTTCAAAGTGAAAGGGGCATTTCTCTGCCAAAAATCATTGAACCATGACCAAATTCGAACTTGGCCTGCCCATTCCAAAAACCTATCCATATGTCAAATTTGAGTTGAATGTGTTGTACCGTTGGGGAGATAATAAACGGAAACTGAAAATTTCATATTACTTTCAAAGTAAAAGGGGCATAACTCTGCCAAAAATCATTGAACCATGACCAAATTTGAACATGACCTGCGCAGTCCTTAAATGACGCATCCATATGTCAAGTTTGAGTTGAATGTGTTGTACCTTTGGGGAGATAATGAACAGAAACTGAAAATTTCATATTGTTTTCAAAGTAAAAGGGGCATAACTCTGCCAAAAATCATCGAACCATGACCAAATTCAAACTTGACCTGTATTTTTTTCATGACATATCCATATGTCAAGTTCGAGTTGAATGTGTTGTACCTTTGGGTACAAAATATCTAACCTCTAGCATATGTCAATTGCTAGAATTTTTTTACTATATACATATAAGGAAAACCAATGACCCCTGGGGCGGGGCCAATTTTGACCCCAGGGTTATAATTTAAACAATCCGGGTAGAGGTTTACCAGATAATGCCTTATGCAAAATATCTAAGCTCTAGGCCTTTTGGGTGTTTACAAGAAGGTATTTTAAGTTTTTACTATATGTACATATAGTGAAAATCAATGACCCCCGGGGCAGGGCCGATTTTGACCCCAGGGCTATCATTTGAACAATCTTGATAAGGGTCTACCAGACAATGCCTTATGCAAAATATCTAAGCTCCAGGCCTTTTGGGTCTTTACAAGAAGGTATTTTAAGTTTTTACTATATGTACATAAATTATAGTGAAAATCAATGACCCCCGGGGCAGGGCAGATTTTGACCCCAGGGCTATCATTTGAACAATGTTGGTAAGGGTCTACCAGACAATGCCTTATGCAAAATATCTAAGCTCTAGGCCTTTTGAGTCTTTACAGAAGGTATTTTAAGTTTTTACTATATGTTCATATACAGTCTAACTTGCCCATGCGACCATGTGTATTAAGTGACTTTTGTCTTAAACGACAACTTTAAATTCCCCCCAATTATTTTCTCTCTATATCTTTAATGCATTAAGCGACTTTTGCTCAACGCGACCAGCGACCGCTAATAAGTCATCTAATTGACATCAATCTTTTCATTAAACGACCACTTTTACCTGTCAAGTAATTGTGTTTATAGAGAACGCCACCTCGTTATGTCACAAGTGTCAACAATCAAAACACAACAATAAACGTGTGAAAAACTCTCTTTCCCATACCGTTTTAGCGTATGCAAATGAAGTTTAGTATACGCGTGACGTGTATTATCCAATAATATCGGATAAACAAAGCGCCCATACTGAGATGGTGTATACGCTTCGCTTGTTGACATTTAGACTGCATTGAATTGACCTTGAACTTGATCAGCCATTAAATTAATCGTAACAAATAGATGTAGTTTGTATATTTCAAATGAAAAAATGCACAACAGAAAACATCTTCACTAATAGGGTTTTCGTGTTGGAGACAAGGAAAAACAACGGAGAAGTTAAAAAAATTCTGGAAAAAATGTCAAACATGTACGTAATGGATCTTGAAACTGTTTTGTCAATAAATATCAGAAAGTTATTTTTTACATTTGCATCCATTTAGATTATCGGAGCGTACTTTTTTTCAACAAAGATATAAAAATTAAGTTGAAAAACAATCCCACCGAATAAAAAAGATGTCATTTTTTAATTTTTGACTTTTATATCATGCTGACTGTCTTAAGAGACCATTTCATTAAGCGACCGTTTTGGGTGTTTCCCTTGCCCGGTCGCTTAATACACGTTTGACTGTAGTTAAAAATCAATGCCCCCCGGGGCGGGGCCGAT